CTTATCTTTTGAGAAACACAATCCTCTCTCAGTTCCTCCCCTGATAAGAATTCATCAGTGGCTCTCACTGTCCTCATGATTAAGTCCAAACTCCATGGAGGTGCTGGAGTCCCCTGTCCCCACCATCTGCAGCACTGGGAGTCTGCCCCCCCACCCAAGGTCCATCAACACTAAAAACTCCAGCCATGCTCTAGGGTGCCCAGTTTGCTCATTCATTCATTCATCCAGCAGCTATTTATTGAGCACCTACTATGTGCTGAACACTGTTTTAGGAGCCAGGGACCAGCAGTAAACAAAACATATCCCTGCCCTTGGAAAGCTGACATCCTCCTGGGGCAAACAGACAAGAAACAAGAGTAGAGAAAATGTATTAAAGTTTGCAAGGATTCCCATACCAGCCAGCCACCAAAAAAGAAAAGAAACATGTGTAAGGAAGAAAAATCAAGGCATATAAAGGTAGAGTTTGGTAGGGAAGGGATGGGGCTTTTTTAGGTGGAGGTGCAGTCATAGCAGGCTTCTCTAAGAAGGCGACATTTTGATTTTATTTATTTATTTATTTATTTTTTTGGTGGTTGGCGGGTACAGGGATTCAGACCCTTGACTGGCGGGGGGAGGGGAGGGCGGGTATCAACACTGTGCTCTAACTGGCCAGCCCCTGACATTTGAACAAAGACTTGACATTTAAATGAGGAAGAGAAAATGTCAATATGAGAAGGAAAGCATTGCAGGCAGAGGGAACAGCCAATGCAAAGGCCCCAAGGTGGGACAAGCTCCGTGCATCTGAGGAGTAGAGAGGAGGCCCATGTGGCCAGAGTGGAGCGATCGGTGGGTTAGGTGGGAGATGAGGGTAGAGGAATCAGCAGTCTGCAGAACATGCAGTCTTTCCTTACCCATCTATGGGCCTTTGCCCCTGCCGTTTCTTCTACTGGACACTCTTTTCCTCTTTAACCTTGGCAATTTTGAAACTTGTCCTTCACAGCTCTACTCCAGTAACAGCCCTTTTGGGCAGCCTGTGCTGGCTGCCCCCTCCACAGTGGGATGGCAGCCTTCACAGGCATCCACAGGCCTGGGATACCTTTTGCCTGATATGTCACCCTGTGTCCACTCATTCATCCCACAAAGACTGAGAAAGCACAGGCATTGTGCAGTTTCAGAGAGGACTGCCATTCAAAGTAAGTCACACGGGACATCACAGTGCACGGGGGTGGTCTAGGAAGATCTCTCAGAGGAGGTGACATGTCTTTTTCTTTCTGTTGTGGTGGCTGGCTGGTACAGGGATCCGAACGCTTGACCTTGGTATTAGAACACTGCACTCTAACCAACTAAACAAACCAGCCAGCCCCCTTCTTTTCTTTCTTTCTTTTTTCACAATAGCTAATTTAAGCTAAGGAGATAACATTTAAACAGAAAATTTTTTTTTTCCTTTTTGTCTTTTTTCGTGACCGGCAACGGATCGCAACCCTCAGTGTCGCGCCCGTACCGGACCGGGACCGGCAACGGGATCACAACCCTCGGTGTTGCGTCTGCACCTCGCTCAGCCAGTGAGCGGCTGGTCTGTATGTGGGATCCGAACCCTTGGCGGGAGCGCCGCTGCGCTCTCAAGCGGCGCACTGTAGCAGTGCGCCACCGGGCCGGCCCTAAACAGAAATTTAAGTAAGCAAAAGGGACCAGACTTGGGGAGATGGGATGGAAAGGTATTCCAGACCAGATAACAGCCAGTGCAAAGGCCGTATGGTTGGAAGTAACGTAGGGATATTTGAAGAACAGAGTGAAGGCTGGTATTGCTAGATGGGGGAGAGGAGAGTGGACTGGCTGGACAGGTGGGCAGAGTCCTCACAAGACCACCTTGTACGGTTAGTTACAGCACGGTGCTGATAACATGAAGGTCCAGGGTTCGATCCCTATACCAGCCAGCCACAAAAACAAAAAACCACCTTGTAGACTAGGTGAGGGGTGAGTTTTTCCTATGACTGCTGGGAAGTCTGGGGCAGGTTTTCCAGCAGGGAGAGGCAGGGTGGTGGTAACAGTGTGATTTAGGGTTTCCAAGGTTCCAGAGTGGATTGGAGAGGGGCCAGAGCAGCTGCAGGGATGTGCCAATACAGTTATATTTTGTTGAGATTGTACAGTTAGTCCTTTAACTCCCCCTATAAAGGCCAAAGCACAACTTTGTTTCCAGTGCCGCCAAAGTTCCCAGTAGGCATCGATAAATGTTCACTGAGTAAAGGAATGCTGGAAGGTTGGAGTTAGAATTTGGCAGATTTCCCCAGCTTCATCCAGGAAGGCAGCCTGGGACCTGGCAGGCGGGAGAGGACCCATCCCTGGTCAAGGTGGCTCCTACCAACCAACTCGGCCCGTTGGAAACTTGGCTCCACCTTGTCCTTTCCATCTGTAAAATGGGTGGGCTGGAGAATTAGAGAGAGATACCACATCCCTCAGGGCAAAGGCCATAAACTTCCTGGCTTGATGATTGGGATAAGGGGCTTCTCAGTTTTCTCTTCTGCAAATCAGGAGCAAAAGAACAAACTTCCAGGGTTCTTTAATTCAGTCAATAAACATCTAAGAAACAGCTGGGAGGCCAATGTGGCTAGAGGAAGCGAGCAAGGGTGAGAGATGGGGTGGCAGGGGTGGGTGTGAAGTCAAACTGTGCAGGGCCTTGTGGCCTGTGGGGAGGACTTGGGCTTTTTCTCTGGGTGAGTTGGGAGCCATGGAGGGTTCTAACCAGAGGACGGATGTGTCCTGACTCAGGTGTTCATAGGTTCCAAGAGAACCATAGTCCAAGAGACTGTTGTGGGAGGAACTGACCTTGGGGCAAGGGCCTAACCAGGAGACAGGATGGAGTCGACTACAGTGATGCAGGTGAGCAATGTTGGGGGCTGGACCCGGTGAGGGCCGTGGAAGGGTGGATTCTGGATCAGTATAATTCTCCTCCTCTCTTTCTCTGTGAAAATCCCCCAAAGAGTTGCCCAGAGGGAACGAAGAGAGACAACACGACAACGGAAACCCTGCACAGCTGCGTGTAACCAAGGCACCCATACAGCACCCGAGCTTTGGCGGGTCCCGGAGGGCGCAATGTTCAGGCACCGTCGCCAGGGAGCGCTCCCCGCCCAGAGCCCCGGGGACCAAGGCTTGACTCACCGGGTTTCTCAGGGCCACGAACCAAGCTACACTCTCGGAGACTACTCCAGAGACCTCGGAGAAACTACGCAGAGGCTCCCACCCTCCGATTGGGCACTTATCTGCATTTATGGAGTGCCATCTGCATGCAGTAGGCCCGAAAGAGAGGCTGGTCCTTGTTTTACAGCGGGAAAAACTGAGGCCCAGGAGCCATAGGGGTCCACAGGGCCAACAACGAGTCGGGGGCCGAGTTGGGATTCAAACCCTTCTGAGTAACAATAATGACAGTAACATTAAGAGTGACAGCAGCTAACACATTGATCGCTTTTTGTATCCTAAGCATCTGGCATACACCGCCTCATTTTATTTTACCAACACCCAAAAGGTGGATGAACCCTTCCCATTTCACAGATGTGGCACTCTCTTGGGGGTCTGGGGCTCCCCCAAGGCATGGCGCGCTGAGGTTTGAACCTAGATCTGCCCAGAGCTTGTCTCCAGGCGATGGGAAAACTTCCATGCCCTTGAACGGGGACCTGAGCTTGCAAGTGCAGCAGGGACAAAAAACTGTTCTTGCTTATGGAGGGGTCCCGGGAGGCCCAAGTCCTCCGTCGCCCCTCTCTTGAACGCGGCTCATCCTTCTCTTCCGACTCCCGTGCGGTCCCAGGGGGGACCCCTCGGCCGAGTGCGGTCGACGCGAGATCCAGACCCGGGCAACGATGGGAGCAGACCGGGTGTTCCCGGCTCCGGGGCGGGGGAGCCTGCAGGCGGGACCCCGCAGCCCCGGGGGCCGCCGGGAGCCCCGCCCCCGGCCCCGCCCCCTCCCC